TGCAGTTTTTTTTTTTTTTTTTTTGTTAGTTCATCTTGGGCTGAACTCTTTGTGAAAGGTTGGTCATCTTAAAAAACACATTGCTTCATTCATTCATCCATCCATTCATTCATTCTGTAACTTATTCATCCATCTGCAGAAGTGTGGAGAGGCACTCTGTCTCTTTCCAGCATGATTGCCCACAGACATAGACTGGGACATTTCCTGACACAGCTCTTCATAACTCGATTATTGGATTATTGGCAATTTGACACCCAGGCCAAGGCCTTCCTGTCAGAACCAGTGAAGTTTTATGGAGTGTTGTCCTACTTCCATGTGTAATGTGCTCCGTCTGCAATGTTTACTGACCTGATTTCCAATCTGAGCTGCTACGAAGTGTTGTAGAATAGATAGAGAATACATAATGAAGAATCCCACGTCATCTGAGGTACAGGTTGGATTGGGTGTCTGATCTTCTGAAAGATGGCCAAATGAAGAACTAAAATTTGATGCAGTGAAATTGACAATACGTCAAGCCTAATAATCTCCAAGCATATCTTCTAGTGGCTGCAAGACAGTATCAAACTGGCAAGACATGTATCATTGGCAGGGCGCAGTTTGGCTGATGAAAAAAGGTACCAGTAGAAAAAAGGGCAAATAAAAGCACCTAGAAACACATCAAAAATTTGGCTGATGAAAAAAGGTACCAATAGAAAAAAGAGCAAATAAAAGCGCCTAGAAACACGTCAAAAATTGGCTGAAGCCTAAACCTCTGCTTGGACAGTAAAGTCCACTGGGTCCATGAGACTGACATATTTTAAAAAATGGTGAATTTAAACAGATCTACAAAATGTACCAGCTAGTGCAGCATGGATGCTCACTTCGGGTAATTATATAACTATACAAATGTTCAAAACATTCTTGAAAAGGCCTCAATGACACCATTTAGCTTATACATTGTTTGTAAATCTACTATGACAATAGAGTTGTGGGTGATGTTATCATTACAGTTTTACCTTCACCTTGCATTTCTACCCAACAACAAGGAGAAGCCACTAACCCTCGTAGCCTTCACATCTGCTGTTCTGCTGAGTTATCCCAGTCCATCTGCTGTTCAAGGTCACTCTCCACCAGAGGTATGCCAGTCCGGTGCTCTCTGGCCGGCTCTTGGACCGTAAACCCTCATTTCTTGGGGACTTAGCCTGCGAGGGTCCATCGGTCTTGACCAGTGGGCAGTGACCTCTGTGATGTTCTACTCTAAGAACTCCTGATTAACACCTAAAGGTTAATGTAGACTTGTATGGACGGCATCTGGCCTTAGATCTCCACCGTCATTAGCGTTTGGACGTTAAGTATAGATAGAAGTTGTAGCTCAGTAAGTGCAGCACTGAATGTGAAATACACTTTGTAACTGCCTCTTTAGCCATCAGAAAAGAAAAGAGCTGTTTAAAGAGGCCACTAAAACTCACCACAATTTCCAAACATTTACTGACAAAAAGAAAGCTACAACCCTATCTCCCAAAACTCATTGCAGAAAAAATGGGACACTTCATCTTCCAAATCTTCCTAAAAAGAAGCTAAACCCCAAAAGCTTAGATTGTATTTCATAGCAGATCTTAGAATAGTCACTTGTTCAACTTGTCGTCATTGTTAGCTTGTATGTTTGTATACTCTTCCTATACATTGTTTCATGTTGCAATTAGCCCTCGCGGGCATAAACTTGGAAATAAACTACTGCTACAACTTGATACTGCAAGCTTTCAAACTCTCAAAGGAACTGCTACATTAGTTTGAAAGTTCAACAGGGCGATCAGCCATGGTAGGCTTAAGCTTTACAGTTTGATGGTGTGAGGTTTGGGAAGACTCAACTCTCAGAGGAACAGCTATATTTGTGCACTTTGATGTTCCAACGAATGGCCAAGCTAGGCTTTGGATAAGAATGGAGTTCAAGTTCAATCAAGTTCTCGGCAACCAAGGCTTTCAAACTTTTTTTATTACTTTGACTTAGGTATGACCAACAGTAGAACTCTCTGGCACTTGAGACCGAGCGCTCCCACCCCCAAAGACAGACAACACTTATTATAAGCTCCTGTTCTAAAACAAAAGAAGCTATTTGACTCATTTGCATCAACCATGTATCAACTTTGTCTAACTTTTGTTTCCTATTGGACTATCAAAAAAATTATCTTCACTTCATTTTATTTACTGAAATGTCAGACCATTTCTTAAAAGTGTGAAAAGTTTAACAATTACTGTTACAGTGTGATCACTGGTCTTTTAAAGACAACTATGTGCCTGCAGGTGTTATAAGGGTATCTTGCAAGCTGTCTCACATAGCAGACATCGAACATAAACTCCATGTTCTATCATTGCTCCCATTGGGACAAAATTGCTGCAAAATCCTTATCAAGCTCTTTCAGGCATGAATTGGTCTTCATAACACATGACTATACCATTGAGAATTCTGTCTGCTATTCCCACAAGCAGCTTACTAACACGAGCAGAGCTTCAAGTGTTCAGGAAGATTTTTCACACTCCGAACTTGAAGAGATTACCAACATAATTGAATCGGGTCTTTGTTAATTACCTTGATTCTTTTCTTGCAAGACTAATGCTGAAGAAAGCAGCAGCAAATGTGGCAAGTGCATGATAAGACGTGCCCTGTATACGTGTGTCAAACACCTTAAGCTTTCGGTTCACCACAAGCCCCTTATCATCTGCACAGGCATTACCCAAGTCTTTACCAAAGTCTTTACTGAAGACTTTGTTGAAGGAAACCCTAAGGTCATGCCAATTTGATTTATTGGCTTAAGGCAGAGCAAACTCCTAGTTTCTTCCTGGTGTGGAAGTATTGTTTTGGGTAGCCAAGTTGTGGATTTGTGTATCTGTTTGTCCAAGTGGCGACCGTTGTGTGGAGGGTGGGAGGTGATTATGACAGTTGATTGATAGGTCAAGCCTGAAGATGATCGAGCATGAGCTGGGTGACAGTAAGTGGGATGGATTCATTCATTGGCAAAATACCCAATTAAATAATATACAATCCCCTCCACACTTCCAATACATTTATCAAAACACAATACACTTCCCAAAGGGTCTGTGAATCTTAATTTTGGGTTTCTAATTACCAGTTACGGTTACAAGATATTCTGTTACAATGAGTTATCCTATGTAATATATAGCAAGAATTTAGAGATATCCTCAATACATCTGCCAGGAAATTAACTTAGTCTAGAATAAATCTTGCTTCTATTTTTGATGTAAGGCAAAAATATTTTTCAGTGCCATATTAGCTATTATATAATAGCTCAGTTAAACTTTTTGTTAGCTCTGTTTTCAGGAGATCATAAACTGTTATATAACTGGCATTGGTGCTGAAAGGATGACTGTTTGTAAAAGAAAATGTATACAGAACAAATAGATAAGAGCAATATAATGATGAATAAACTGTTTCTAAAACTCAAGGAATTTGACTTACAAGAATTTTCAACTGACTCTCTTGGATAGGCTTGGTCATCATCAGCTATCTGACCCCAGTTACTCTCCAGGTCACACCATCTCTCTGAAAGGGGTCAACATTCTGGACACTGAATCTGACAACTTAGTGAGAGGAGTGAAGGAGGCCATCTACATCTACATGAGGGCACACCAACCTTCTCTCAACCGGGACAAGGGGCGGTACCAGCTTCCAAAAACTTCCTTGAATTGGAGAACAGTGTATTTGTCATGCACCAACTCAGATAAACTTTCATGCGCAATCTCAAGTTTCCTGGTTTTCCGATTTTTTTTAAAGACATGCTTACTGGAAGAAGAGCTTACAGAATTCCCCCGTACAATGAACTTGTACGTTTGTAATTCTTGCTACAACCAGTACAGTGAGTGGTTTCACTGTAAGCTAAGGCTGGATTGAGGCCCATTTCTAGTTCAATAATGTGTGTGCCAAGTTTTTGCACCACAAATCCCAGTGCTAACCTCTCTTCCTGTGGAGAGAAGGTCTGGTCCTCACTGTTAAAGACCTTGATCTCAGACTTTGCATGTGTAAAGACACAAGTTCGCTTTCTTACTTACAACTAGGCTTGTAAGAGTAGAAAGCTCAACACCAATAAAAAAGTTGCTAATGGATTATCTTTTGTGAGATGTAAAAGTTCAGGATAACCACAAGAGAGGCCAGCAAACGACAGAGGACAGGGAAAGGACTAAGTGTTTCTTTTTAGCACTCAGGAATAAAGATCAGGGCAGCCAAGGGTCGAAATATCAAGGGTACCGGTTAGCTCTTAGTAGTCATTCTTACTTGTAAATCTTATCTTATAAGATGGCTGAGGAAAATGTGTAACTCTGGTGGGGGAAGGTTTAGGGCCAACAGTTATTGTGTGCACAAATTGCTGCAATCTCAGGATGATTAGAAGTTAGGAAAACTTAGCTCAGAAATTGTTCAGAAGCATCCAAAACTGTCTGACAACTAAGTTTTACACTTTTTGCCATGCTGTAAATATTGAATTATTTTAACATGCATGAAAATTACAAATAAAACTTGCTTATAATATGCCCATTGCTCCAATAAACTTGGTTCTCTCCACTGTATTATTAAAAGTTATGAGGTATGATATAGTTTTAGTGAAACCACAAACTTTCTGACAAGTAAGTTTTATACCTTTGATCATGCTATAAATCTGGACTTATTTTAGCATACATGGAAATTGCAAATAAGACCATTGCTCCAACAAGAAACAAGATTTTCTCCACTGTTAGACACTCTTTAAACTTGACAGCAATTACAGGAACCAAAATTGGATTTGTGTGACCCTTGATTTCCTAATTGGAATATGATACAAGATGTAAAGCTATGACTTAAAAGATAACAATGTACATGTAACACTTAAAAAACTTTGGTCTTCATCTATGAAATTTATTGAGCAATCTATCAATCTCTTGTCCCTCAGTGGTCACAGCCTCTAGTGGGAAGGTGGACCATTAAAGGGATTGATGAGGCAGGAATACAGGAACTTTTAAATCAGAGTGGCGGCTATAAATACAGGGTCACTGTTGCTGGGCAGAGTAAATCTTTATTAGTGGATATTATCTAAATGTCACCACTCTAAGTGGTTGACAGTTTGATAGGACCATGGTTACAGTGAAAAATGTCATGTGTCTGGGTGTGGTTTGAGGGTCGTCTCTCTCCTCCTTGCTTCCAAGATTTAAGGTGTCCGTCCTGACCTTCTTTGTCGTTAAGTCAACTTTTTTCAATCCCTGAAGGTCTTCATTTTAGCATAGAGTTATACAAACTCATCAGGAGATTCCAACACAAACTATACAGTATTCAGGAAGCAGTTTAATTTGCGTACAAATTCCATCTTTGTAAGTTGAGTCAAATAAAGAAATCTTAAAGAGATTTATAAACATATTTATGCTTTTTGACTTCTTGGAAGTCAGTGTAGTGGATCATTCATGAAGAAGGTTGACAAGTTTAACTTAAAATTCATGGTGAGTTCCCTTTTGTGTTGGAACTTTACCATTACATATAAAATATATCCCAAAGAATGCCAGTGTATACTGTTTCAAAAGATAATCAGACAACAACATTTCTTTGCAAATAAAACAAGATAACATACTAGTTAACTTCTTACTGCATTGTTCAACATTATCGTGAAATAATTATGAAAACATCTTTGCTGCATGGTTATACTGTTAATAACACAACAGACTTGAACACAGACAAAGTTGAACACAGACAAAGTTGAGCACAGACAAACAAACATCATAACATCTGTTAGTCTCTGAACAAGGGTTTCCAAAATCACAAATGAGGCAAGTTTCATTTCTTCAAGTGTTTAAGGTACATGTAAGGTCACAGCAATCTAATTTCCTGGTTCTCAGATTTTTTTGCAAGAAAGTATTGGAGTAAGCAGGTACAATAACAAAGAAACATGAAGTCAACACACCAGGCTGGATTACAAAGTTGGAAAAACTGTAACAACTTGGAAGACAAAGACTTCATTCAACTGTTGTTGCCAAAATGGTTGAGATATATCCTGAATGGTATACTCATGTTTTATCTTTTTTTTCTCTGAAACAAGAGAAAAATTCAGCAGTGGATCCCAAAACCAAGAAATCAAAATGGTGTGGCCTTGGCGACAATTATTAACAATGAACTTGAGTAACAGAACAAAGTTGAGTAACATAGACCCTCACATCTGCTACAGTCTCTGTACAGGAGTTCCAGGTCCAGACATCTCAAACAACTCCTCAAAGACGTAATGAATCTCCGGGATCAAGTCGGCCGCGCCCATGGATCGTCCCCACTTGGAAAAAGCCAGTCTGCTGCAGGTCTTGGTCAGGGTGCTGGCACCATACGCTGCTGCAATACTGGGGCCGTATTCCTTCAGCAGTGGACTGTAGGGAGATAAGAACACATGGACATTGTCATGAGAATTTGGCTGTATTTGGCTTCAATACAAAGACAAGTCTCTCAACAACATTCAATACATGGGCTGTAATCACTCAATAAATTTCTGTAAACTGCCTTTAGATGTAACATACCAGATTTGCACAGTAAGTACAAGCTGTGTAAGACTAGACTGTAAGGTTTGATCCACTCACACAGGCAAGGACCCCAACTCTTTTCGATAAGTATGATCTTCTAACATGAAAATGGTGTGACTCTCCTCAAACATGTGATCTCTGGCTTTGTGTCCCATCCAAGAGGACAACCCTAACCAAAGCTAGGTTGTCATTTTCACCAGAGATGAGTGAGGAAACAGGTGATAAGTGCCTTTCCCAAGGACATAACAGTGAGGATTGCCAGGGATTCAAACTCAGAACTTCAGCACTGACCACAGGACCATCTTCCAACCAAGACCATTTTGCTACCCTTTGTACACCTTTCTTCTGGTCCATGGTCTGCTACCTTTCCTCAACCACAGACTCACTATCTTTTGGGGCTTAATGTAAATAATTCAATTCCTGTAATTAGAGCTAGAGTCCAACACAAGTTTTAAAGCACTCCAAAGTCCAAACAAAAAACTTTGTCCGTATAAAAATTTTCTACCAAAACTACTCGAGCCTTCTCGCTGTCTGCCTTCATTGCAATAACCTTCCCTTGACCTTTCCCTGTTCATGTTCACGACCTTTGCGGCTGCTGCTCGGGCTCCCCAAGACTTACTTTTCCTTTCATCCAAATTTGATAAGGCCATAATTCAACCGGAGAATACCGAGTGGGGATGGCTTGACTCCCAGCCTGCCCGGGGGATCAGGTCTCAAAGGACATGTGTAATAGAAGCGATGTAATTATACCAGTCCGCATTACACACCGCGTCAGGAGGAATTTCCATCAGCATCGGGAGCGCTGAAAGCTGTCCAAATTTGCGGCTCTGTTTATTAAAGCAATAAAGTATTCATCACCTTGGCTGGCGAGATAAAGGCTGAGTAATGTTTCAAAGTCAAATGCAATTTGAGCGAGCCGTATTACGCCATAAGCCGGGCGCAAGAAGAGATTCATTTCGCCGGGTGATGAAGTGGAAAAGATACCATTGCAAGTACACGGTACAGCTCATTTCGTCTCCGTCTCCGATTATTTGTTTGATCTGCGAGGGATTGTTTCCACAGCGAGGAACATCTTCCCCCAGGCGAGTCGTATGTAACGCACAGGTAAAACCGACTCTGTTGTAGCCGAGGGGCATACACGACTCTCATGCCACTTGTCAGGTGTATGTATCATAAAATGCATAACATGAAGACGCCTCAAGTATCGGGGTTTCTTTGATTTCCCTAGACAATTGTTCTTAGAACTGTCTCGATGCCATTACATCTGGGTGGGTGGATTTTGAGTTCGGAACAGTCAATTTCGATGCTGCGATGGCAGAGGAAACTATGTGTTGAATTGTATCTAATGTAACATAGAGGCTTAATGTTGGCACTTCATTGTGAAACATGACAGCCAAAAAGCTTGAAACAGTATGGTGTCGTATTTTTTAGTACACCTGCAATGGAGAAACACCACAAAACCGACTCCCCTAGATTTCCCTTGATAACCATATTCCAAGTTATGCCATGTGCGAGATTTATCAGTCAATGTGGGGTCTGACACTGTCACATTTCAAATCTCCTGGTATCTCTAACTGGCATACACACATATTGAACAATCCGATATTTCCTATCAAACCTCACCTATACCTGCTTTTTTTACTGATAAAAATCTTTAGCATTGCCGGTGCTCAGGCATAGCAATTATGCAAAATGTCAGGGGTTATCCAGAATAGAAGATCGACCGGGTGCAGTAATGGAAACATGGGATACGAAATGACAAATGTCTAATAGTATTCAGGGCTTGAAATACTTTTTCTGGTGCACGTAACAATAAAAATATTACCTGCACCAGATAAGTTTTACCTGCACCACTCAGAATTCATCAAGTATGGATCATATTAAAACTTTTCAGAAACCATTGCCATTATTTCTTTATACTTCATAGGTGGTAACAGTCAATGCAGCAAATAAAAATCCACATATGCCTACATTAATTATTGTTGTTCATAAACCCAGTATATGGACCAGTGCAGGTTAGATGCAGGTAAACATCAGAAATACCTGCACAGCTCCAATTTTATATGCACTAACCTGCATATGAAGGTAATACATGTATTTCCAGCCCTGGTATCTCCTTTGTCATTTCAACTTATAAAATGGCATAAACAAGGTGTTTCTATGACAGTCAACACAATCTGGCATAGAAACTTTATTGCAACAGTGTGATTATTTCAATTCCACAACTGAATTCCAGTGATGTCCCTGTCAACTTTGCTTACACACGTAACAGTCTGAAAATTGCCTAACTGCTACGAGTGCCTTAACAAAGTTTACCTTAATTGATGGTAATTTCCCTGAGGATTTTGCACAACAATTTCTGTTTACCTGACAAATACATCTATTTTTACAGAGCCATAATTGAGTGACACAGACAGAGATAGAACTGCAAAGGTTGTCAGCTTGGGGACCACAACTCAGTAAAAATGGGATGAAAACAAGTCTTATCTTGTCAGTGATGTTTTAACTGGCAGATAGTTGATGCCCCCTTGGTACTCTTCACTCAGTAGATAAATTCAATCAGTTCCTCACAAGGATTAAGTTGTGATTTCTTCAGAATCCACTTTCAAGGTTCACACAAGAAAGCTGAGTAGGACTGACTAATTGAAGACTGGCTTTTAGACAATTCTACCGGGTACCCTAGGACCACCAAGAGTCAGTATTTTTTGATTTTTAAGAATGTCTTGAACACCAGGATACCTGAAATTTCCATACCTTGGGGAATCACTGCTGCTGAACTAGGAATTTTCTTTTCAACACAAGGAATAGAGCTACATGTACTCTTCTACTGATTGTGACAAAGTAGACAAACATCAAACAATGTATACAGTAAAAGTTTTAAATTACTGGTTAACTATACCAAGGATATTCCCCTAGCTCTTTTCAACAAGTACAACTAACAGTGGACAATGGTTTAACATCTCATTTTAATGACGATGATCCTTTCCAGTAGCGTGCATGTCGGGCAAGTGACAACAGCTGGGATGTTTACTCAACTTTAGGGTCCACAGGCCAGGTCACTAACCACTGCTATTTCAGCACCAAGGACAGGGACTACATATTAGCAGCTACAGATCTGAAACTACTAACTGTAACTACATGTATCATATGAAGAGGGGTTTGAGAAGATTCAAGTAACATAGGCTATCCAACTGGTTGTGGCCAGTGTGGCTGCAACTCAAGCTGTTATGTTTGTTTGTTTATCTTTTTTAACATCTGGACCCAGGATAATTTTGTCAAGTTTTGACTGTACCAAAGCAGTATGATGATACATAAATGAAACACTTCTTGTGTAAACATTTATTTTATGGAGCTTTTGTTGCCATCCCAAGATTTTGCGTTGCACTGGCTTCATGATGGTATCATGGCGAGTTTAAGGTCTTATTCCAGGCAGTAACATGAAAATAAAGTATCCACCATGACTTTGGCAACAGCCTGAAACACCTTTTGGATTGTTGGAAAGTTGGCCATCCAACCAGTTGTCACTAAAAACACGATTGTAGCAATTTTCTTCTGACAGAGAAACAAATCTTAAACTTCTTGTACTTCAGAGTTAACTTCAGAATCTGCTTGCCTAACTCTGCTCTCCCACCCGTGGAAAGACAAATGACCTGCTGCTAAGCATATTCACGCATCTTTAACGTGTTTCTCTCTCCCTTCCCTTTGATAGCTGCTGATCAAAAGCGCATCTTCCCACACGGAGCTTAATCCAATCACACTTGATCAATTCCTGGCCAATACTGGTGGACCGATTTAGGTCAACCCGATAGTTGTATTGGCTCTGACCTCCCAAAGGGTGATAATGCAGGGCTGACACCAGCAAAGTTGCAAAAGGAGCAATATTTCCTGTGGTGGTCGACTAAAGAGTGAATTCCATGACAATTAGTGTATTAAGTAAAAATATAATGAGAAGGCAACCTTCTTTCTGGAATTACATGTTTTTCAGGGAATTGAAGTTACAAAATTTTGTTGACTTGCCAGTATCTAGTAGGAACAGAAAATTAATATATATGGTGCACAGACTAGCATATCAAAATATCAGACTTTAATCTTCTGTGCATTGATGCTTCAATGATCATCAAATAAAGACCCTGTAATCATTAATGATGTTACTTCTATCGTCTTCCTTTGACTTCAACATGAGCTGTAAGCTACTCTGTCAGAAGCGAATGCGACGCATTCAAGCATGCTGCAAACTTTCTTTTCAAATCACCACTACTCATGAAGACCCACTACTCATGGAAACTTAAGGGTGAGAAACGGGGGTGAAATTGAAGAGAAGATTGCAGACTTATTAGCGAGGCTGGTGGGCAGTCATGCTAGACTGGTCCTCACAGTTTCCATCAGGTGCAATTTCGGAGTAATTTAGGACAACAGCTCCCAAGACAAGGCCGAGAGAATGCAGGAATACCCAAACAACTAACAAGGAGGAAGTGTCAGTACCAGAATCTTAACTACCACCGTGTTAGAAGTGTATTAGCTTGTGGTTGCCTTTTAATGGAATTGTTTAAGTCTTAAAAACTCACCACAAGACACATAATTGAATGGTAATTTAAATTTATACTTCAACCTCAAAGAGGTGACTACTGTTTCTGGCGTGTTTATCTGTGTTTCTGTGTCTGTGTGTTTCTGGCCTACATTTATATATGTGAAGGGGGTCTGCCATCTTTGACTGCCTTTATGTTTTTATTTATTTATTCATTTATCTTATTAACATTGACCTCATTTGTTCTAAGGATTGATCTCATGCCTATTATTTCGTGATTAAGTTATGAAAGAGGAGGGACCTCACTCAGAGAATGACCCCTGCT